ACACCAGAGATACACAATTTGATTGGTACATATTACACTGGAGATGTCACGGCACCTTAACTGTCCTACTTTGCTATATGAGACATATTCTTCCAGCTCTCCTTTTGATAGGTAGATTCAGCATGTAAAGAACTTATAGAGTTGCTTTTTAAAAACCAAACCATTTTTGACCATCCATTTTATCTATATCTTTGGTTCTTGGTTTAGTCTTACCTATTCTGAAATCCTTGGATCTGGAGGTTTTCCTTTCCTTGAGTTCTAAATAGGAATCTTTGTGAATTCTGCTCTCACAAAGTAAAGTATTTAATTAGGACCCTGGGAACCATAGATTGCTTGGGAAGTTAATTCATATTATAATGAATTCAAATATAGGCTAAGTTGATCGTGCTAAGAGGAACTTTCTTATGTACTATTGCTATGACACAAGAAATTCCCCTCATGATTTTTATGGATCGGATGTTGACATATAATTTATACCTCTTCATTTATTTCTCAACCACTGTGTTAGTTATGTTTAAAACCCCATCAGATACCTTTTCTTAGTTCATAAGAACCCTTTTCCCTCAGTTTTCCATCATGTATCTTTATGAAATTGATAGCACTGGCACTGATATTAAAGAAATTCATCTTTAGAAGTCTTGTTTTGTAATTTGAATCTTCGTTCAATCATTGTCTTTAGGAATTGAATATGTCTCAGGGTTCAATTTGTTCAATCTGGACAAATTCTATGTTCTTGCACATAGGTTAGATGGTTCTTATCCTTCTATCACCTATCATCCTATTGTTTCTCAAAATTTCTTCTGTTCAAAATTTTTGTTGTATTATTTCAATGTATCTGTTTGTAGACACGAGATTTTGAAGAGGCACCTACCGTTCCCTGAACCTGTGGATTCGAATATACTTCAGAACGTTGCTGCTCGGCTCGAGGAGGCGATATTCAATGCAGCTCATAATCAGGTACATTTTATTAGACTGACTTCAAATTCAGTTGTTCTAAATGACTACTCTGAGTCTGATTTTACTAGGATGACATTTCCATCCAGTAGATGTGTGTTCAACTATTTGTTATGGGGGCATTTGCTTCTTGTCTGATGATAATCAATACTTCCGTATTTTTTTGTTTCTTTGTTGGTGTGTGTAATTAAATCACAGATTCTTCTGTTTGTGAAAATTTCATCCTTCAAGAAATATATGTTACTTGCAAGCCGTAGACTAACTAAACTGCACTTATGTTAATACACTCTGTAGATGCATTATTATAAGCATTTTGACTGGCTAACTTTGGCCCCTACTTTTCTTCGTCCTTGTATATGTTAACTAAACTGCACTTGTTTTTCTTTTTTTCCTTTTCTTTCCTGTTTTTGTTGCTGTAAAAGTAAGACTTTGAAGAAGCACTCTTCTAACTCTTATTTTCTCAGTCAGAGTATTTGAGGAAAATTTCTATGAAAATGCTCTCAGTGGTGAGTGAAACACAGCATTCTGCATCAATCAACACGTCAGTGTCCAACAACAACAACCAAAATCCTACAGATCCAGGTACTTAAAAGTTGAGTTCCTTTTTGTCACAAATGAGGTACTGTGAATTATTGATATTGCATTTTGGTTGGAATATGGAAGTCAAATTTCCCCTTTCGAGTATATTAATTTTGTTCTTTTTTCTTTTAAACATGAAGCATTAATTGCTCATGTATATTATCGAATCGTACTCTTTATTTCCTTGCTGCTGCTCAAGAATATCTTCCTGTGTTCTTTACTGCCAGCATGGCAGGGCTGAAACCTGCTGGTAGTCTACTGGAACCAATTGTCCATTATGACTGATCAGGTTCTTGACAGGGGGTTTTGGCACTCTGATTTTTCTGCCATGTGTGACCCATCTTCTTTTTTTTTTGCTCATTTTTGAAATGTACTGCCTCCGATACAATTTCTTGGTATGATTTCTGAAAAGGTGCTTATCGTGTTGACTTGGACATATTTTTTTTCCTAATTTATTGCATTTTTCCTCAACCTTCCAAAAATTAAATCTTGTTTTAATTATTTAGTTCTGTTTCCATTGTCCGAATTGAATGAACCAAGTTCCATAGTTTCCTTTTTCTGAACTCTAAATTGCGAAGCTGTTTCCCATCAGCTTTTAGTGAATTGAGTAAGGCAAATCCTTTTTTATTGTTTTAGGCCTATTTGGTGGTTGGGTCTAGTTTAACTCAATAGTTTTGCATTAGTGAATAGGTTGTCACTCTCATTAGCTGGTTTCATGCTTATTCTGAATATATAAATAAAGATGTTTTAGTGTTTTTTTTCATAAAATCATCAGTCAAGCGTGCTAGTTATGAAAGTTAATGAGCTGCTATAATATTATGGATGAATTGTTTGATTTAGTTTGGCATATAAAACAACAATAGAAAATCATAGAATAATAATATTATGTGTTATGATCTAGTGAGATGTTTGATAGTACAATGTGAAAATAAATTGGAATTTATTGTAAACGACAACAGCATATGTGATTGATTAATTAATTGTTTCTACTAGAACTACAAATTGATGTACCTTATTAATAACTGTGCATTGTAACATAACATTCTTTCTGGAATGTGAAAGGACAAATAATATTTGTGACCTCTTTTTTTCAATAGGGTTCATTAGATTTTAGAATACTTGTCGACTCGATGGTATGCACAAATTATTTCTTCTTAAATGGACATTCTATCTTGTGGTAGTCCTAATTCTGTTCTTTTAATTTGCTTATACTTTTTAAATTTAGTCTTTAAAAGCAAAAACTGGCTTCTCAAGGCCTTTAAATGATTGTCTAATTAAATGAATCACAATGGTGATTGGAAGGGACATGTCTAAACCCTCTTTATCTAGAAGTTAGTAGGTGTATGGGCTTTATTTTTATAGCTTGAAGAATATGATTTGAGCAAAAGGTCAACCGCAGTTGATCAAGCTGACGGGTATCACTAGCTGATGCTGGACTTGAGCAATCCTCTAGCATTAGTCACACTTCTGGGTGTGGGAGATTGCGTCCTTTCTGAGCATCGACCAGTAGTACCCTGTCATAACCTTGAAGGCGAGCATCCGATCGTCGATGTGCTATTTGCATATTTTCTCGTGCACCGCAGCCAAGACATGTTCAGCCTCCCGCGATGTCCGACACCTTAAGAGAGGTTAGTTAAAGGACCTGAGATATAGGCTATCATTTATGATGCAATACTAGGCTTGGTGGTATCTGACTTGTTTCGTCGAGGAACAGTCAGTTGGGAGCATGTCGTCCCTTTTGTACCGCAAGATATTGTCCATCCAACAAGACTCATCTTCAGTTTGGGAAACTTTCAGGGCGCCAATACTCCTTGAAGACAGCATCTCGACTTGCATGCGGTCTTCCTTCATTGTTCGAGTCGAGGCCAACCTTGCTAATGCATCCGCTTGTGAGTTCTCTTGATGCACCTAAAAGATTTCAAATTTAGAGAAACGAGGTGTTAGCTTTTGTACCTAACAAGGTACTTCGCCATTGTTGCATCTTAAGCCTCGAAGTTACCCGTGAATTCGTTCACCATCAGCTGGGAGTCGTTATAGATCGTTAGCTCTCGAATGACGAGCTCCTTAGCTTATTGAACATGGGACAGGAAAGCCTCATACTTTACTTCATTGTTGGAAATCTTGAATATGACGGGGAGAGCCTACTTGTAAATATGCTTGATTGGGCCTCTAAGGACAAGACAGGCTCCTTCGCCCTCGGTAGTCACTAACTCGTCAACAAATAGGTCCACACAATTCGAGAAACTTTCGTAAGTTCAGCATTTGAAATGTTTCAGCTATATCGACCAAGTGTGCATCAGTTGTTTTATTTTCCATAATCATGTTGTCCATATAGGCTTCGACGTTCCTCCCCTTATGGTCTTTGAACATCTTGTTAATATTCTTTGATATGTTGCACCTGTGTTTTTTTAGTCCGAAGGGCATAACTTGGTAGTAGTACGACCCTTGGTTGGTGATGAAGGAGATGTATTCTTGGTCATCAGGTGCCATTCACATTTGGTTATATCCTGAGAACGTGTCTAAAAATGTAACTTATGCCTCAAGGTGGCGTCTATCAATTGATCAATCCGAGGGAGGGGGAACTGTCCTTTGCCAGGTTTTTAATTTTGTACTGTACCGAATGGTACGGGCAGTATGTACCGGTCCGCTATCTTATTGGCACGCGGACCGCTAGTTACCGGATGGTACTAGATTTTTGGCCCTGTATCGGGCGATACGGGGCTGTTTCGACCATTACCGACTTGTATCGGGAAGTGCCAGTTGATTTCGACAATCACCAACCTGTATTAGGCGATAACGGTCGAAACCAATCGTTACCGATTTATATCGATTTTCAAACGGTCAATTTGACCATTGGAGGCATCTTAAAGTGTTTTTAAACCCTTTCCTCCCGTCTCTTTCAATCCATTTCACTTTCACGCTCTCTTAAGCTCTCTCAAACTCATTTTTACTCATAATTTCTCTCTTATTCTCACATTTTCACTCTCTTAAACTCAACAAAGCAATGGTTTGACTATTTAAAACAGACCAAAATTGCTAACCTTCCACAAGGCTACTCCTAAAACCCCAAAAAAGATATGTAGCACTATTCTTACCTAATTTATATTAGTTTTACTAAAACTATACTAAATGTATATTTATTTCTAACTTTAAAACTCTATCCTAACTTTATTTTCTATTTTTAAGGTATTTTCGGAGGGCTAAATGCCTATTTTAGGCGTACCGCTCGGTATGTCAGTATATACCATACCGAGCAAGGCTTGATATGCCGGTATAATATGAAATTAAAAACCTTGGTCCTTTAGATAAGTTTTCTTCAAGTTGGTATAATTAACGTACATCCACCACTTTTTATTAACCTTCTTAACGAGGACAACATTAGCTAGTCACTGTGTGTATTGTAATTCGGAAATAAAACCAACACCTAACCACTTATCTACTTCGATGTTGATGACCTACTAGCTATTGGGTGCAAACTTGCGTGACCTTTATTTGATTGGTCAGGCCTCTAAAAAGATGTTCAAATGGTGCTAAGCTACATCTGAGTCCATCCCAGGCCATGTCCCTTGGGGACCAAGCAAAGATCTTTGCATTAGCCCGTAAGAAGTTTATTAGTTCCACTCGACTGGACTCGAGTAGAGCCGACCCGATCTTCATTGTTCGATCAGGTTGAGCTTGGTCTAGTGGCACTTCAAGAAGGGTCTTGATCAACTCAGGATGGGGCACTAGCTTCATGCCGCCCCTGGGATCCATCAGCAGCACCTCGAGCCGGAGTTTCTTCGAAAAGGACATCACGGTTAGGCAGCATTTGCAGGACTCCCTTGGATTGCTCTCTAATTCCCTGACTCCAGACCTTGTCGGGAATTTCATGGACATGTGGTAGGTTGACATCATCGCCTAAAGTCTATTCAACGTCAGTTGACCAATGATGGCATTGTACACTGAGGAGATGTCGACCACCATAAATTTAGTCAGCATTGTCTTAGAATTAGGCTCCATGCCGAAGGTCACATGGAGATTGATGATGTTGAGGGGTGAGATGGAGTTGATGAACCTCGTGAGATAAGAAGACATCGAGGTCAAATTGTTAGTAGTCAATCCTAACTTATAGTAGTCAACCCTAGCTTGTGAAAGGCATCAAAATAAAGGATGTTAGCGGAGCTACTTGTGTTGATTATGACCCTCTTGACTAGGGTGTTGATCATTCTAACAAGGATGACTACGGCGTCGTCATGGTTGGGGTCGAAGTGCTCTCTACCTACTCCTCTTTGAAGGTTATTTCCGTGTCACTTCCTATCGTTCGATGCTTCTCTGTTGCGGCTTGGGCATAGGCCTTCCCGTTAGATGAGCTATCCCCACTTGATGTCGGTTCACCAATGATTATGTCGATCTACTTCTCCATTGGGCCCTCTGGTTTCGAGGATGGCTCGTCTCCTTCGAATGAAACACTCAAGGTGCCCTCAACGAATAAGTTCTTCGATTTGCTCCTTGAAGTCGAGGCAGTCTTTAGTGTCATGCTCGTGGTCTTGTTGGAACCAATAGAATTTGGATCTATCTCTTCTTCTCGACAGAAAACTCATAGGGCGAGGGTCTTGCAGCAATTCCTTCTCTCTGATTTATATGATCACTCCAGTGCACGACATGTTGAGAGGGGGAAGGTTGACTCTCAACCAAAGTCTTGCTCGATTGAGAACTTTATGTCGCGAAGACCTCGGCATTGGGCACGAGTCAAGCGCTCCTACTTTAGGCACCTATGCGATTGCTTGTGCCTTTTGGCCACCATTATTTAGGTCGTGATATATTGCTTGGTCCTTCGAAGCATCTCAGGCATGGTGGTTGGTTGTCTCTCTATCAATGACCAGAATAATCTAATGTGCCTCAGTCCCATCATAAATGCCTATACAAGGACAGAGGGGTGAGCATTAGTGTCGCCTTGGTCTTCATTGGTAAATCAGGTGACAAAGTCCGATAGCAGCTTGCCCTTTGTATGTCAACTTCTCAAGAGGGTAGTGGTCTAACGTCGAGGGTGCTCGTTCCTAGCAAAATACTCCTCGAACTCTCTTGCCAATTGAGCGAAGATACTCACTTGGAGGGGTTTCAAGCAGGTGTACCACAACCACTTTTAGGCCGCACCTTTCAGGATTGCGGGGAAGGCTTAGCACATCAGGGCGCCCAAAGTGCTATACAACATCATTTGGATATAGAATGCCGCTACATGTTTTGTGGGATGTGCCTTTCCATTGAATGCTTCTAGATTCGATAACTAGAAGCTCAAGTGGACCAATTCCTCCTTAATCTATCAAGTAAAGAGGGACTCGATCGAGGTGAAGAATACGGGGTTCCTTGTTCTTGTCATATGGAACTCGTGGTGCAGGTCCTCAAGGCGTTGGTCCATTTGCTAGAGCTATGCCAGGAGGGTGTCTTCTGAGTTCACCAACTGGGCCCCGGACTCGAGCATTATTGACTACGGGTGGTAGGGTTCGTTGAACTTGACAATGGAGGACCATGGCAACCCCTTAGCCAGAAGGTCGGTTGGCCAAGGAGGCTCTAGGACAACCTATGTCTGGGTCGATCGAGGCACTTAGGCAAGCGTTTGTGGCACGACTAATTGTTGCAGAGGAGGGGTTGGCACCGACTGCGCCAACTGAGGTAACATGGGGACGACGGATTTTATCATCCTTGTCAATGTTTGAACTTATTGAGTGTGGTTCATGATGACCTCAGTCAGGTCCAACATTTGGATCAGGGTCTCTATCGACAAATAGAGACCAGGATTGTTAAATAACTGCCAGTACTGAATTGGTGTTTGTGTTGAGGTTGAAGTGTACAGATTTGGAAACGTTGGTTGTTGTCCACTTTGGGTGAAGGTGCTATGAGTTGATGACGGAGCACCCTCAATCGAATGCTCATTAAGTGGGTTGGCAAAATGGCATTCATGCAACATGGGCCCTGCTTCTAACGCCAAAATGATGTGATAGATGTAGGTGACGCTCCAATCGACTCAACTTAGTTTAGAGCCGTGAGCACAAGAGATTCGAGATGGTCGAGGTGATTCGGATGTCCACCGTGGAGTCAACCTGCATGAGACCTAGGTTGGGTGGTGTGGCCGACTTGGTCCTTCCAATGCTCAAGTTAGTATTGAGGTGGGCAGTGGAGGCAAGGGTAAATAGTAACTCACATGGATAACAGTAAATTGATGTGCTTTATAGTAGGCTAGGCCCAGGGGATATTCTGTAGTATAGGCGGAATATTCCCCCTTGAGTCCATTATTGTAGCTATGCTTGGGTTAGTGCCATCTTGGTTGGGTCTTGCACCTCTCGCTGGCCGGGCATCTTCTTAATTGTAGCTATTACTTTTAATTTGACTTTTGGTGGATTTTCTTACTTTGAGCTTGTATTTTCTTGATGATAATATGAATGGTGTACTTTTGGACTGGTTAAGCTTAGTGTTGAGCTTACAATATAAAAGGGTAATATAAGTAATATAGACTGTATTAAGACAAATAATTAAAACCATTATATTTATTGATTTAGCATGAGACATTCTGTGTGTTAAAGGTGCGTAGTATCATCCTGTTAGGTTTATCCTTTTAGGTAACAAACCCTTAAACTGATGATGGGTGTTAATTCCACTAACGATCTCCATGAAATGGGACTTCTAATCCCTCAGTTTCAAGTGTATTTTAGCAGCACCAAGATTCTTGTTTTTATGATAATAACCATGCTAAGACATGATGGATGTGATATACATTTCAGACATGCCAAATATGAAGTCATATGTCACAAAGAGAAAGAAGAGAAAAGAGAAAAACCAAGAAAAGCATAAAAAGAGCCACATTTTGGACAATATGTATAGTTGTATACAATATACAAGAAAAGAATGTGCAGTACGTATATCACATATGGGACGTGGTGGTCTGACATGAAATGGTGGAACAATGAAATATGACATGTTATTGGTTAATTTATATAAAATCATGATACTTGCATATGATTATGCTTTGTTTTCCTTATATAGTTTCCTTTTAGTCATACATCCTACACCTATTTGGCTCTATCTATTATGAGGGATGCCTTTTTGTTGAGTACATTTGTATAAATATTACTACCTCTCCTCGCTGCAGGAACTCTTTTCACTGGATCTGATGACTCTGATGAAACCAGTGGGTGAGATGATATTTATTTAAATTATAGAATTAGAAATGTAGTTATAGTTAAATGATATAGTGTGTATTCATATTGTTACAAAATTTTTATTGATTATTCTTTAGTTGATATGCTCTGTCTTTATTGCTTCATCATCTCTCTATGTGTGTTATGATGTGCATATGCTTTTTGATGAAATGCATATATTTTTTATTATTCATGTTATACCTTAGATTTTATGGGATGACCATATTGATCTAAGAATTTTGGCTAACAGTTTACATCTCACGATGACTGTTGGGTTCTTGTCTCATACTTGGTTTTGGTGCATGACAAAAAATGGGCCAAAAAAAGATGCATATTCATCCAGCCATAGAGGAGACCTACATTTCTTCGTAAGTGTATGTAATATATAGACACTTTTATAAGAGCTAGAGTTTATGCAAGATGGAAATCCCAATGTTCAGTTGAGTGACAAAAATATTCTTGGTAGGATATTATTCAATGACTTATCTTGATCTTCAGCTAATCAATGTGAGAGAGAAACTTCTTGAATGCCATACGGCATTCCTCACCCTAAAAGAGGTTTTGAAATGATCTTCTTTTTCTCTTTGGAACTACATTGTGTTTAGTCCTACACTTATTTATCTAAAATCAAGAAATGATTACTTTTATAGCCATTTCTTCACAACCAAATATGTTTTGAGAAGCCTTAATTATTGTCTTTGCTTGCAAAATAATTTATGGCAATTCACTTTTAGGGTAGGATATGATTAGGATTTACCTTTATGATCAAGGTCTGCCATACCGAAGCATACCGCCCGTACCGGGTGGTATGTACCGGTCCAACAGGTTGCCGGTACGCGGACCGCTCGGTACCGCTACAGTGCTATAGTACTATACTGTAGCACTACTATAGTATGAAAAAAAATAAAAAAATATTCAGTACACCTGGGTGTACCGCACGGTACGCCCTGATGTACTGCCCGGTACACCGGTACTATACCATACCGAACCCGGGTTAAAACGTCGGTACGGTACGATACAGCGAACCTTGTTTATGATACAAAAAAATATTTAATAACTAATGAGACAATAATTGAATAATATTTTTTATGGAAGGTAATATCCCTTGGGCTTTTCAGTTTTCTAATTTGTTGAAATGAAGAGATAGTTCTCTGTTTGTCTCAAAGAGTAATCCTTTTAATTTCATTTTCAAGTGTCTAAACAATTTGGTTGAATGCAAGGGAACAGTTGGAGTCTGGCTGAGGGTGAACTTTCCACTGCTGCTAGTGGGAGCTCTGCCGACTGGAGGACCCAACTTCAGCCCAAGGCACGCCATATGATTGTAAATCAGATGTAAGTGGATTATACCTTTCTCTTAAATTTTCCTTCTTTTTTATTTGCTTTTAAAGATTATTAATGATGTGACTGTGGATCACCACAATGGATCATGAATTTGATAGATAAGTTGTCGATGTTGGGTTAGATTAGGATGCCTCTGTTGCTTGGATGTGAAATTTTGATGCTTTTGCAAAAACATATGTTGTCATTTGTGAAGTTTTAATTATGATCTTCTTCTTTCAAGAGTGAATTTTTTTCTTCAGGGAGGAGAAATATTTCATTCATATAGCAATCTACTGAATCTCATCTACTTCGGATTCCCCATTTGGTGTTCCATTTTTCGTTATTCATATATTGAGTGAAATGCACCCCATTAAAATAGTTACGTT